TGATCTGTGGATACTCGGAGCTCAATTAAATGGACAAGCGCTGCTGACGCAGGCAATTAACGCGGCCGAATGTGCGCCTTACTGTGTAACGAAGATAATTTTGTCCAGCTGTATCGCGCGTAACAATGTCGCGTGTAAATTCATACGTAAAATGTGCCGGGAATATAATTCGTACACGTAACCTTTTTATCTATATCCAATTTGATAAGCATAAAAACGACAATGTCTCGGAGATAAGCAAGAACTTTTACTTTTTCTCAAATAAAATCTCCGAGCGTAGATACACAAAATCCTTTAATTCTTCACTTCGTACTTTTATCTTAATAGAATTTTGATTGACGTTTCGTGCTCGTGGTCTTTCAAGTCTCAAAAGTTAAAGCACGCAAAGCAGAGTGAAATCGTAAAGCGCGGAGATCGCAAGTTCAAAGGCCTCGAGAGAGGATCGATGTTGGGCAGGGCAGAGTGGAGAACTTTCGATTAATAATCCACTGCACAGACTGGACGCGCAGATCAGATTTAGAGATTGTTACGGGGATTAAATTTATATCTCGAGAATGCAAAATCGAATTTGCAATTACAGGATTACAGCGTTTTGCGATCCAAGATCCGTTATTGTTCTCGCGATCTTCTTCTTGTTTTGCAAAGGCTATATTATTTGTTTTGTTGCTTGTGTCCGCAGTATAATTTGATGATAGGGGAAAGGAGCAATGAATTTGCGAGCCTTTAAAGAAATTTATTGCTCTGGAATAATTATTATGGAATCTGAAATTTAATTAATCGAAACCGACGACCGCCGCGATTTTTGATTGTTACTGGAAAAGCATTCGCGTGCAATTTCATGCCCGTTTGTCGATAAGGTCTACGACTCGTCATATAGGAAAGTACCACACGATCCGTTTAGCATCACTCGTTTTACACGTTTTATCCGTTTTACATTTCAATAATTCTATTGGCCATTGAAATTCCTTTAGAACAACATTTCACATTGCGCACGCGCGCACGCGCACACATACACGGGCGATTTATTGGCCAGTTGTGTGCCACGTGGAGGCATCCCATAATCCAATCGCGATATAATCACGTTTTATCTTTGCATTAACGATGCATTAATGTAAGCATTTATTTAATAAAATAATTTGTGAATCAATAGGCGAATTCTCTTTGCAGGAACATTTATTTCTCTCGATTTTTCATTAATAACACAAAATTGTCGCTCGAACGCATGATAAGTCGAAAAGCGATTGATAAAACTCCCCCGCTCGAGATGTCCGCGATTCCGTTGCCATTTCGCGAGATGTGAGACACTGGTGAAATTTCGTAGGATTCGTTAACTACGTCGCCGACGTACGTAATTACTCGTTACGCCCGCGAGAATTGCGCGGGACAATAAGCGAAATACGATGACGATCGGCGGTAAGACAGCCGGATAAACATCCGGCCACCCCCTCATTTCGAACCCTCTCCGACTTCTCCGTTCCCGTAATGACTAACAATCCCTCCGTGCGAGTCGCTGGAACAATGGAAACAATACAGTGATATGAGAAAGCCGGTTTGCATTGTCGGACAAACCACAGACAGGGTTCCTCATTTTCCCTCCTTCGCGCGTCCCTTTTCCCTCTCCTCTCTTTTTCGCCCCATTCGTCTATATCCATCGCGTGATCCGTGGTACATCCACCATCAGTTCTCTCCTTTTCGTTCTTCCCTCTCTTCGCCCGTCTCACTTTGTGCTACCCTACACCGCACAGCCGCATTCCGTCTGTTTCTGCACACGTAGATATCCGGACTCGACTTTTTTCTTCGTCTTTCTCTCTCTCTCTCTCCTCGTCCCTCCCGAACGATAGAAAGAACACCGTACACCGCTGAATGAGCGTTGATTCCGGAGCGGAGACTGCTCCGTTCGACGCTTCTTCCGCGCCTTTGTACGTACGCCGGCACCGCTAAGGGTTTTAGCTCCTCATTCCCCATCGGCAATTAGTCAGCGATGCTGACTGGCTCGTCGTTCGAAATTACGAAAAGTTAAGCGGTATCTTTTTTGTTGTCCGTTGAAAAAATTTTTAAAACATATATACACGGGCGTTTCCCAGGATTTTTTTTCGGGAGGATTTATCAATTCTGTTAGCACATAATTAACAATTTTTTGCATTAATGATTAATTGCTTTTTTAGAGATTTTAAAGCTTAGAAGAACTCTTCATTTCTGATTTTGAATAAGAAAAATATTATATTTTGTAAATCATAACTTTACGTTAATTTTTCTTTTAATTTCGGAGAAGAATTTGAACCTCCTAAATCTCTCCTCTCCTCCTGGATATGCCAATGAACATATAATAATATATTATCTAAAATTTTTATAATAATAATTTAGATTCAAATAAAGAAAATTTGAAATTTGAGATAAGCGCATTGAAAATTGAAGATCATGTATAACATTTTTGATAAATCAATAAAATAAAAAGTTTATTTTTTTTATAAACACACATTTATTCTAATAATTTTAGTACAGATACATAATAAACCAATAGAAATAAAATTTTTACACTTAAACATCCGCGTATATATACAACAATGCATTTATTATAAATAGCACAGAATATTGTTTAATTTAGGTTAAATTTTTATTTTTATTTTCATTTTCGTACACAGTTATACATAAAAATCCTAGTCGTTAAATATTAAATATCAAAAAAATATATTTTGAGCAATTATTATTTAACGTAATATTCGAAAAGAAATTATCTCATTGATCATTTTAATGACAATTGCGTTGTTTCACAAGAGGCTCGGATTCGCCGGACGCAACGTGAATAAAAGCGAGCACTCGAGGCAACTGAGAGAAGGAGCAAATTCCCGAAGGATGTTGACATAAAACATTATACGGTTGGTCACCGCGCCCTCGGTCTCGTCTGGTCTCTTCAACGGCTGTCGGCTAAGAAGCACAAGTACGCGCCTTTGGGGGGTACCGTTCATCGTGATGACGTCGAGGGTTGACGGGGTGTTACGCTTGTAGTCTACACAGCGTATCGCGACAGCCGGCCTAGCGATCGTGCCCTCTCCTTCCCTCTCTCGGTACCGCCGAGTACATCCAGAGGGAGGATATGTACGTCGAGTACGTGCCAGAGTAGATGCAACCCTTAGCTAAACGTTCGCTCATCCCTCGCCGTTCATTGTTTAGCTATTTCGATGAGCCAACGTAGCTTCGAGCGCATTCGACGCGATCCTCGTTTCTGCAATCTGGCTCTGGGTCGTACGATTCAGAAAGATAGAAAGATAGAATTTTACAAGTTTCGTAAAGTTTTTACATGCCGCGCGGGATCGATGAAACATCACGAAGTTACGCGAATTCATCAACGTACGAATAAAAAAGGCAAAGTTTGCGCGATTAATCTTTCCGATATGACACCCCCGTTACGATTTGCAATCTAATCCGATCCAAGAAGAGGACGGAATCAAAGATCCGAGATCGCATTACTCGATATACGGCCGTCAATCCGGGAATGCCCGGTTAACGATCGAATCGCGAGACGGCCGACGTGTGTCGGACGTACGGACAGTGGTGGAATTATAATGCGAACAAAGAGAAAGAGAGAAAAGGAGGGAGGGAGGAAGAGAAAGAGAGAAGAACTCTCGGAAGATGAGGAGTTAACTTTTTATGCGGAGCGCCTCTCCTCTCTCCGTGCTCTTCCTTCCGCGGGGAAATGATTACGGAGCTCGGGGTGAATGTAGGTCGCAAGATATATCCAATCGCAGGGTCTACGGTGTGCTGGCTATCCGGGCGATGGTGGAGTGTGCCCGACGTTAAGATTCGAAACTCCGCCGGCTTTGAAGGCGGAGAGACGGAGAGAAAACGGCGAAAGGCGAGGAGAGAGAGAGAGAGAGAGAGAGAGAGAGAGA